TAGGGGTATGAACGAAAAATTTAAGCAACGTCTCAGGAAAGACTTGTTTTCGAACACGACACCATTATTTGATGTGGATAACATATATTTATCGCCCCATCTTGTTTTGAAGCAAAATGGTACAGGTTTTAGAAATCAAGGAAAATAAGGGTAAATAAGGGCATGAACGAAAAATTAAAGCAACGTCTCCAGAAAAACTTGTTTTCGAACACGACGCCATTATTTGATGTAGATAACATATATTTATCGCCCCATCGTGTTTAAAGAAAAATGGTACACGTTTAAGAAAGTGGAGGAAAATAAGGGTAAATAGGAGCAAGAACTAAAAATATAAGCAACGTCTCTGGAAAGACTTCTTATCGAACACGACACCATTATTTGATGTGGATAACATATATTTATCGCCCTATCGTGTTTTAAAGCAAAATGGTACATGTTTAAGAAAGTGGAGGAAAATAAGGGTAAATAGGGGCAATTATGAAAAATGTAAGCAACGTCTCCAGAAAGACTTGTTTTCGAACACAACACCATTATTTGATGTAGATAACATATATTTATTGCCCCATCATGTTTTGAAGCAAAATGGTACAAGTTTAAGAAAGTCGAGGAAAATAAGGATAAATAGGGGCAAGTACGAAAAATGTAAGTAACGTCTCCGGATATACTTGTTTTCGAACACGTCAACATTATTTGATGTGGATAACATATATTTATTGCCCCATCGTATTTAAAGCAAAATGGTACACGTTTAAGAAAGTCGAGGAAAATAAGGGAAAATAGGGGCAAGAACAAAAAATGTAAGCAACGTCTCCAGAAAGACTTGTTATCGAACACGATACCATTATTTGATGTGGATAACATATATTTATCGCCCTATCGTGTTTTAAAGCAAAATGGTACACGTTTAAAAAAGTCGAGGAAAATAAGGGTAAATAGCGGCAATTACGAAAAATATAAGCAACATCTCCGGAAAGACTTGTTTTCGAACACACCACCATTATTTGATGTGGATAACATATATTTATTTCCCCATCATGTTTTGAAGCAAAATGGTACACGTTTAAGAAAGTCGAGGAAAATAAGGGTAAATAGGGGCAAGTACGAAAAATGTAAGCAACGCCTCCTGAAAAACTTATTATCGAACAAGGCACCATTATTTGATGTGGATAACATATATTTATCGCCCCATCGTGTTTTGAAGCAAAATGGTACACGTTTAAGAAAGTCGAGAAAAATAAGGGTAAATAGGGGCGGGCATTTTACGAAAAATGTAAGCAACGTCTCCGGAAAGACTTGTTTTCGAACACGGCACCATTATTTGATGTGGATAACATATATTTATCTGCCCCATCGTGTTTTGAAACAAAATGGTACACGTTTAAGAAAGTCGAGGAAAATAATGGTAAATTGGGGCAAGTAAGAAAAATGTAAGCAACGTCTCCAGAAAGACTTTTTTTCGAACACGGCACCATTATTTTATGTAGATAACATATATTTATCGTCCCATCGTGTTTTAAAGCAAAATGGTACAGGTTTTAGAAGTCGAGGAAAATGAGGGTAAATAGGGGCATGAACAAAAAATTTAAGCAACGTCTCCGGAAAGACTTGTTTTCGAACACGACACCATTATTTGATGTGGATAACATATATTTATCGCCCCATCGTGTTTTGAAGCAAAATGGTACAGATTTTAGATGTCGAGGAAAATAAAGGTAAATAGGGGCATGAACGAAAAATTTAAGCAACGTCTCCAGAAAGACTTGTTTTCGAACACGACACCAAAATTTGATGTCGATAACATATATTTATTGTCCCATCGTGTTTTAAAGCAAAATGTACACGTTTAAGAAAGTCGAGGAAGGGTAAATAGAGGCAATTACAAAAAATGTAAGCAACGTCTCCGGAAAGACTTGTTTCCGAACACGGCACCATTATTTGATGTGGACAATATATATTTATCGCCCCATCGTGTTTTGAAGAAAAATGGTACAGGTTTTAGAAGTCGAGAAAAATAAGGGTAAATCGGAGCATGAACGAAAAATTTAAGCAACGTCTCCAGAGACTTGTTTTCGAACACGACACCATTATTTGATGTGGATTACATATATTTATCGCCCCATCGTGTTTTGAAGTAAAATGGTACATGTTTAAGAAGTTGAGGAAAATGAGGGTAAATAGGGGGAAGAACGA